CTGAGACATATTAGCAGGGAAGTGGATCAGAAGTGGAGCAGCTGGGACTCGCACCAGCAACCATATGGGATGCCGGCTTGCAGGTGGCGGCTTAACCCATTATGCCACAACGCCAGCCCTGAAAGATAGAATTTAGAAGCTCAGATTTTGGCCTAGAGAAATCTCAGCCCACCCACTACCCTCACTCTCTGTAACCATAATCACTGGCTTTTTATTCATATTTCCAGGATTTCTTTACTCAAGTAAGAACATGTGTTCTTATTTCACCCGCCCTTACATAAAAACAAACAGTCAACTCCGTACTGTCTGTCCTCGTTTTGTGTTGGTTGAGACTGGGAGGTCGCCTGTCAGTGTGTGCAGGACTCCCTCACTGCTTCTCACGGCTGCACCGTGCTCCACTGAGGAGCCGTCCCTGGTGTCCCATGTGGACGGACAGAGGCTGGTTTCCAGTCTCGTGCTATTTCAGTCACTGCCGCAGCGAACAGGTTGTCCATGAGTCACTTTGCACGTTGGTCCGTATATCCGTGGATGCTTCCCAGAAACGGCGTTTCCTGAGCAAGGGGCGGAAGCAGCCTGAATCTGGAAGGCGTCGCCAGAGTCCCCTCTGTGCTCCCTGGGCAGCCGGGAGAGCCGGTTTCCCTAAAGCCTGGCCATCAGGGTGTTGTCAGATGATCAGTCAAATTTTGCACAATCTGCTAAAGGTGGTGTGACGTCTTCAGTATTTCATGTGGAATTTATTTGAATCTCTGATGAAGAGTGTGGATGAGCACCTTTTTATGTGTTTAAGAGCCTTTGTGTTTCTTGTGGAAACTGTTACTATTCTCTGCCCGCGTTTCCGTGAGATTCTTGGCCCTCTCCTTCTTGATCAACCTTGACTGGGGACTTCAGGGTGTCCAAGATGCCAGCCCTGGAGCACAGGCAAGGGACTTGGAGTAGAGAGATACTGAGAAGAGGCCCCGGAGTCCCCAAAGCCCGAGCACCCTGACGCCACTTTCTGAAAATGAAACAGTACATTCAGCCCAGATGCAGGCGAGATCCAGCCCGGGAGAGCAGGGCTCCCTGGGGCTGAGCCTCAGGTGTCCCTTCCACGGCCCCTCTGCTGTCAGAGGAGCGAGTGGAGGTTGGAGGACATAGGTAACCCACCAAAGAAGTGGCCAGCCAACCCCTGTGGAGACCCCCACCCGGCGGCCGAGCCTCCCTCAGCCCCTGTGTCTCTGGAACTAAACTCGGTTTCCACTACTGCTCTGACTTGACACGGTTCCACGATGATCTTTTTTGGAATCTATCGAAACCGCGCAAAGAGCAAGCTGGAAGGCAAGCTGAGCTTCCTCGCTTCCTCCCTTCGGTCGAGAGGTGAAGGGGGGGACAACCCAGCCTCTCCGTTTGGGGAGCCCCCGGAGAGGAGGGGGGCAGCCTGAGGGTCCCTTTGAAGAGGCAGCATGTTGTGGGCGCTTCCCCAGCAGGGAGTCTGCGAGGACAGGAGCCTCTCCCACCCTGGGACTCCCCACCGACCTCTGCTCCTTGGGGGGAAGGGCAGGCTGCATGTGTGTGCAAGGGTGCCGCCTCCCAGAGGTCACCGTGGCCCCCGGAGTGCAGTCTTGCCCGGCCTGAGAGGAAGCCACTTCGTGCTTTCGGATGGTCTCAGGTTTGTCCTCAGCATCCTCCCCTGCACCAAAACTTAAAACCTCAGCGCAAAGAAAAGATGCCACATCATCTCCCCGGGGAAACCCACTGCAGCACTTGCGAGCCTTGGAGTTGGGCAGGGCTGTTCTGAAGTCAGACTTCCCCCAGCACTATCACCACCAGAGTCTTGTCCCTAGTTCCTTCCGGGAGGTGGGGAACCGGCTGTAGTCCCCCATGCCTGGTCCTTGCCCCAGCTCAGCGCAGCAGCGGGGGCGTGAGGCATCCTGATCTTCCGTCTGGGTCCTCCAGGGAGAAAGCCCTGGCTCGCTCTGTTTTTCCAGCTTCAGGAACCCCCTTCTTTCCATATGCTGGCTGCCTGAAAGTGCTCTTGCTACTTGCATCTGTTGGCAGGTTAATTAGCTAATTAATCTCCGAAGGAAGCTGCTCTTTAGCCCACTCAGCCTATTCCCCGGCCCCTCCCTGAGAATTTGCCACAAACACCCAGGAAGTTCCAGCTTTCTGGAGCTGCCTGGAAAACTGCTCTTACATCTGCACCCCACCCCTCACCCCTGCATGCATCCAGTCTTAGTCGTTTTGTGCAGCGTGGAGCATGCAGAAGCAGCACATTGGGCAGCTTTAGAGCCAGATTGGTGCTGTTCAGGACCATGGAGAGCTCAGGAGCCTTGGTATGTGGGAGCATTTGCTAAGCGCCAACAGGGCTAGGCAGGGAGACTGGGAGGAAGGAGCATGTAAATGGAGGAGGGCTTTGACCCTGGCCCTTTCAGGAGCTCACGGCAGAAATGTGAGAAACAGAGGAGTCCTAACAAAGGTACAATCGAAGGGTGGTTAGAACGTGGGGGATGGAGGGAGCAGTCCTCTCCTTGCAGGGGGAGTAGGAAATCAGGAAGACTCCTTGGAGGAGGCACTGGAGCAGAATCTTGGAAGATAGAGATTTCAACAGGTTCAGCAGCTGGCTCAGGGCTAGGCTCTTACAGGCACGTAATACATGTAGAACAAAGAGCTGGCTGTACGGGTGAGGAGACCAAATGGAACAAGACCAGTCTAACCTCCAGATGTGCACAAGTGAGTGCCTCTGTAGGCCAGACACTGTGACCTCTGTCCTGGCTTGGGGGAGTGGGGACGCTGCACACTGAACTCCTCCACTCTTGCTGGGCCTGGCCTGTGGGGGGTGGTTGGGTGGGGGAGGCTTCAGGGGCAGTGGCAGGAGAGCATTTAGCAGGCCGGGGGCGGCAGCTGGGGACTAGCTCTGACCCTGGGACTTGCTGTGGGGGTTGCAGGAGTGGGCAGACACCTGCTGCAGGGGACTCCGAAGCGTCCACGCCTACATCCTGGTCTACGATATCTGCTGCTTTGACAGCTTTGAGTACGTCAAGACCATCCGCCAGCAGATCCTGGAGACGAGGTGAGGGCTGCGGTCGCCTGTGCCACCCGTGGACGCCCCATGCCAGCAGCTCTGCAGGGAAGGGGACAGTAGGGGTGGCGGACGTAGTGAAGGGTGTGTGTGCCCCTGGTTCCCACACTTCCACTGCAGCGTGCACACTCCTGTGTTCTGCTGTCCCCATTTCTGTTAACTCATTTTAGGACCCGGAGTGTGCAGGTGGCTAGGCTAGGGGAGTGGTTAACAGCAGAGTTCCAGGGCCGCTCACCCACGTGACTGTTGGCCAGTTAGCAAGCCTCGGCCTCCTCGGTAAAGTGGGGATTAGAAATAGTGATCAGTTGTGCTGCTGAGAGACTTCCCTCAAGGGCGGAGGGCCCCGCAGCACACAGGGGGCGGTAGTAAAGGCCCCGTGGTGGCGAGAACTCGCGAGATTCTGAGACTCCGGCCTCGCCCTGCAGGGTGATCGGCACCTCGGAGACGCCCATCATCATCGTGGGCAACAAGCGGGACCTGCAGCGTGGACGCGTGATCCCGCGCTGGAACGTGTCGCACCTGGTGCGCAAGACCTGGAAGTGCGGCTACGTGGAGTGCTCGGCCAAGTACAACTGGCACATCCTGCTGCTCTTCAGCGAGCTGCTCAAGAGCGTCGGCTGCGCCCGCTGCAAGCACGTGCACGCCGCCCTGCGCTTCCAGGGCGCGCTGCGCCGCAACCGCTGCGCCATCATGTGAGGCCGCGGGCCCCTGCAGCTGCGCCGGGGCGGCGGGGGTGGCTCCAGGCCACGCATCTCCCAGTGACAGGTCGAGGCGAGAGGGAGCCTCCCGGTCACCGCGCACTCCCCTCCCGCCTCGCCGGCCAGTCTTCCTGGGACAGCCGCCTTCGGGCTGTAGTCAGCGCCGTACCCAGCCTGGCCTGAAGGGGCGCCCCAGCCCTTGGGGGTTGGGGGTGAGTGCGTGAAATGCAGAGGGGCTGCCTTGGCCGGGCCCCATCCGTCTTCTCCCGAGTGTGTCTGTCAGTACCCCGCGTCTGTTGGTTCTTCCCTGTCTCAGCCGCCCTCCTGTGCCCCTCGCCGCCCCCAGCTCCGTTCACAGGGCTCTCATCTCCTCCATCCCCTGGTTACAGATCCTGGCAGCCGGGCCTTCCAAAAGTCAGCAGCACCGGCACAGGGCAGAAAGATGGCGGGTGGCCCAAGACCACGACCAGGGGGTCGGAGAGTTGAGATCCGGGATCAGATAGGGGGAGAAGGCTGAGCTCTCCCTCCTTTGGGGAGACCTCTCCTGCCAGCAGCCCCCAGAGACACAACCACCTACCTTCCAGCCTTAACTCGATGGTCCGTCCCTGCCGGGTACCCCGTCCCCTCTTCCTCACCCCAAGGCCAGATCACCCTCTGAGTTAAGACTTTTTATTTTCTTTGACAGAGTATGCCATGGGAATGCCCTGAAGGACAGATCCCTTTCCGCGATGTCAGGTTCAAGTCCCCCACCCCCTCCTGCACTGGGGGAGGTGGAGTTCTAGGGGCTGGCGGTGGGGAGGGTGGTGCCCAGGGGGAGCTGGGTTGCATTAGTGAAGACGCTCTCTCCCTGCCCCAGGCCTGGCTAATCTGAGGAGGAGCAGCCCCTGGAGAGAATCATAGGGATGCCTGTGCTTGGGGAGCTAGCCTGCATCCCCACCCTTGGGTGGAGGCCCTCAGGATCTGACACCCCATCCCCACACCAGTTAGCCCTACGCCCTAACTCACACTCCACCCCATTTTCTTCGGCTGCCTGGCCGGGTTTCTACCTCTCGTCACCGGAGCTGATCACTGTCAGTTTTGTACCAATTTAGAAATAACAATAATAGTGAAGATTCTAGGAACGGCCTGAGGGATTCTGGGGGATGTGGAGGGAGGGAGAAGTGGTTCCGTGTCCCCGCTGCCCCCTCCCCGGCCACCTGGCCTGGCGTTGTTAGAAGCAGGGCAGACAGGACAGCTCAGCCGTGGTCAGCCTCGCTGAGGCTGTGGGGGGGCACTGCCACCAAGATCCTGTCGCCCGGGATGGTGATGGCAGGGAGTCGGGAGGGTCACGGGTGGAAATTGGTCATTGCGATCCAGGGTGGGAGGGAATCTGTGACTCTGTTCCTGCTTCCCCAGCCCAGCCCCACTCCCTCCACCCACTGGGGGTAGCACAGTCCTGCAGTGACCGCCCTGACCGTGGGCCGTCCAGTGCCCCTGGGTTCTAGTCCCTGCTGTGCCGTTCGACACTGGGCAGTGGCCTGCTCTCTCCGAGCCTCCCTCTGAAGCAGAGGCAGGGCTCCCCTTCCCCACACTTCCGCGTGGCTGGGAGGGTAAGAAAGAGGGCCTGCCCCCCATTGTGCCTGCACCCCTGCCCCCCAGTTCACCAGGGGGCATGGGGTGAGGGGTGGCAGCATCTCACATGCCCCACGACCCCCAACTCTAAGGCACCTGAGGTAGAGGTGGGGGCCCCAGGCCTCTGGCCGCCCCCTGTGGGAGCCACTGGAAAGCCTCCCCTGAGAGGCCCCCCTCGCCCCTCCTCTCCACCCTAGGTCCGATTTCAGGTCCCTCCACCCCCCATGCTGAGTCTCTGTCCTCTCCACTTGCCCACAGGGTCTGGAAGTGCGTGTGACACCCATTGAAATGTTATTGGAAGTCGGATTAAAAATCAGGGAGTGTTTTCCCTCGTTTCTGTACCAAGGTGTCTGCTCCATTCCTCACAGTGGGAGGGGAGGGGCCTTCAGGGCTTGGTGGAAGGGGGTTGAGGGTCCCAAGGTCTGAGGGATCAGGGGAAGGAGTGACACTTGTGTCCTTTCCACCTAACTCAGTTCTCCCAGCTACAGTGATCTGGATGGGAAGCATCCCGCTCCCCTGCCACTCTCTGGAAACTGTCATAACAGGACTCAGTTGTAGGCTGTCCTCTGCTGCTTCTCCCTCCCTGGCCTTTCAGCCATAACTTTTGGCTATAACACTCATGGCAGGAACACCCCCTGCCATGAGTGAGCTCAGGACCAAGCTGGGATGTCCTTGGGCAGCCTGTGGCCCTGTCCATGGTGCTGACCCCGACCCACCTGCCATTTGAGGATGATTGGCATGGTGGCTCAAGAGAGGCTTCCTCTCCCCTCGGCTCCTCCCCTCCAGTGGGAGAACACTTGAAGCCACGCCTCCCTGCACCAGCACAGTCTTGGAGGGAGGGGCTCCAGGACAGGCCTGTATGCATGTAAGGTACAGAATCTGTGCAAACAGGTGGGCATGGCCAGAGGCCAGGAGTTTGGCAAGCTGTCATGGGGAAGGGTGGTAAGATACAGGGTAGCCCCACTGCCCCTGGCCTAACCTGAGTCAGATGCAGTGACGGGTGGCCCCTGAGCCTGACTGAGCACATGGGAGCCTGTGTTTGTCTGTCTTCTGGTTCCCTCCTGGCCTAGGTCCTGCACTGAGGTGAGATTTCCCTCCTGCTCCTGCAGCTGCCTCTCCCATGAACACACAGGCTGCTTTGCTGTTCCCTTCCTCCCAACCCGCAGGCCGCTCAGACCCAGGATTCCTCCTCAAGCAGGGGTGGGGCCAAAGGGGGCTGTGGAGGCTGCTGGCCCTCTGAAGGCTGGGGGTCGCTCTTCCCTAGGGCGGCTGGCTCCCTCCTCTCATTTTCTTCCCCCTCCTCATCTGCCAAAGCCCCATCCACCAGGGGCATCTGCCCTCCCTTGCTGCCCAGTGCTGCTCTCGGCAGCCTGCCCCTGGGGGGTGGCCTGGCTGGACCCAGGCAGAGGTAGGCCAGGGGCTTGGGGATTCGTGATGGCCGTTTTTCAGGCCTGTGGTCTCTCCGGGGCCGGATCCTGGGCCTCAGCTTCAGCTTGTAGATGGATGGGATCCTCTGGGGCTTCCGGAGTGTTCTCTTGCTCTTCTTCGTGCCCAGGTGTGTCTTGGCCTTGTCAGCACTGGCGTCCACGGGTGACGCAGTGGCCAGGTCCGGGCTGGCAGACACAGTAGGCCCTGAGTAGCCTTGCCCTCTGTGAGGCAGGCCCTTCCCCATCCTGGCGCCCTTGGCACAGACGCCTGGCTTTGCTCTCGCTCCCAGCTTCCCTTTGGGGCTTCCTGGGCTTGTGGTAGCAGCTGGCTTAGGGGAGCCAGTTGGGGCTGCCTTCCAGGCTCCCAAGTCTACTTTCAGGAGAGGTGGGGGGCTCTGAGCCAGTTCTTGAATGACTTTGTCATAAAGGCTGGCAGTCTCAGGCCACCGCGCACCCAGGCTGGGGACATAGACTCCACTGCGAGGGATGCCCTGAGGTCCTGTGCCCTGAGGATGGGCAGCCCCCACCTCTAGAAGCTTCATGTTGGTCAAAATCTCCTCTTCGAGGCTATGGTAGACGGGCTGCTCCTTGGTGCTGCCCAGGGGCCGGGGAGTGAGCCTCCCGTCCTGCTCCTGAAGACCCAGTCCCCGTGGTTCTTCAGCCTTTGAGGTGAGCCGGGTGTGTGGCTTCTGCTCCCCCTGGTTCATTGCGACACAGCCGTCCCCATGTCTGGACCCAGCCAGGTCTCCTGTGACAGCCCCTAACAGGAAAGGGCCTTTCTCTGGCTTTGCAGTGGGACCTCCACTTGTGGTACCTGGTGTGGGGGGGCGGGCTAGGGGCAGCCGAATGGGGATCCTGGTGAATCCTTTAACAGGAGATGGGGTGTGGATGGGTGCGGGCTCCCTGATGGACAGGGAAGCACCCTCCGCCTCTCCTTGGAGGGGCAGCCTGAGGCCCAGGGGCTGGGCTGAGCTACAGGGACGAGGCAGGGGAGAAGGTCCTCTCGCTGATGTCCCTTTGGTGGTGGCCTCAGGGACTCGGAGTCTCTGGGGCGTGGGGGCCCTGGTGTGGGCTCCCCGGCCGTCTGTCTCCTCATGAATCCAAGCTGTGGGAGTCCTTCCTCTGGAGAGTGAGGGGGAGCATCTGTGCTCTCTCTTCCCTGATGAGGTGCGCTGTGGGTCTTGGCCACTAGGGGTGGGCAAAGATTGGGGACTTAGTGAGCCATCCCCAGCTGGCAGCTGCCTCTGAGACGGGGTGAGTGACCTCTCCTGGGACCTGAAAGGGAGAGAGAATCATAAGCCTGGAAAGGAAGACAGATCGGGCCTGCACTGTGGTGTAGTGGATAAAGCTGCCACCTGGGACGCCAGCATCCCATATGGCACCAGTTCAAGTCCTGGCTGCTCCACTTCCAATCCAGCCCCCTGCTAATGCACCTAAGAAAGCGGTGGAAGATGGCTCAGGTGATTGGGCCCTTGCACCCACATGGGAGACCTGGAAGAAGCTCTGGGCTCCTGGCTTCGGTCTGGCCTAGCCCTAGTCATTGCAGCCATTTGGGGAGTGAACCAGTGGATGGAAGACCTCTCTCTCTGGATCTTTCTTTCAAATAAATGAAATAAATCCTAAAGACAGACAGAAAAGATAGATGATAGATAGATAGATAGATAGATACATAGATAAAATAGATACAACTGGGCAGGGTCATCCAGGCCAGGCCCCTGGCTCCGGGCAGGGATGACCAGTGGTGAGGGGGCTGGGCCTCCTGCTGAATGACAGAGAGACCACTCTGTGACCACCCTAGAGTCCCCCTGGAGGCAGTCACTGTCTAAATCTCTTCTCCCTCACTCCCTGTGCAGCAGACTGAAGGAGCCTGGTCCAGGCCTAGGGTACTTCCAACCCCTCAAAGTGGGATCCCAGAGGTCTGGCCAGCAGAGCTCACCGGTCTCAGGGGGAGGTCTTAGCCTCAGCTCTACCACAGAATGGCAGAAGGACCTTAGGTAAGTCTGTTCCCTTTTCAGGCCTCAGGCTGCTTATCTGTGAAATGGGTGGGCAGATGGAGACACTAGACCCAAAGGTATTGGTTGCTTTTCTGGTTCTGAACTCCCGAGGTGTTGTTGGGGTAGGGACACCTGTTTCCTTTGTCTCAGGGCAGGTGCCCACTAAGAATGTGTTCTCTGCAGAGGACAGAGGCCCTTCTCTGTCCCTCCCCTGTACCTCAGGAATGGCGCCATCTCGCGGAGGACCCCTGCCACTGCTCCTTGTTCACTGCAGGCTCTGGGGGAGGAAGAGGCTGGGGGCCTCAGCTTTCGGCCTGCAGCTGTGTACGTCTTCCAGTCCACGGGGGGCAGCGGGCTCTGGGAGCGACTGATGGTCATCGTAGGCTGGGGCTGCGAGGGTCCGTCCTGCACCCTCACTTCGTGCTGCACCGGTGGGCCTGGGGGCTTCAGGAAGCTGCCTGGCTTGTGGGCTACCAACACAGCCAGAGAAAGGAGAGGAGGAAAGGGCTCAGTCGCTGCAGCTGGGGCCATTTCTGCTCCCCAGCTGTCCCACGCCTGCCATCCCGCCTCACAGACAGTGGGTCCCACAGCCCTGCACCAGAGCTTCCTGCTAGGACACCGGATACAATGTTTCTCAGAGTGTCCTGCTGGGGGACTTACTTAGAGCTGGGATGGTATTGAGGCCCACAGCTTTCACTTAGATTATGTGCTTATTTTGGGATGTCTTGAGGGGCTGGTGGAGATTTAAAGACCTTCCAGATCGGGCTTGGGCTAACATGTTGGACCCCAGCACCGCCATGCACCCGACCAAATGCTGATTCTACGTGGGCTGCGCGCCATCTGGTGGCTGTCATTAACCCTGCACCGTGACTGCCCAGCTAGAGCTGACTCTCCTCCATCCTCCCCACCCTTCCGCGCACACTCTTATCCCCAGAGATCAGACCTACTCCCACCTCTGCTTCCAGCCTCCCTGCCGAGAGCTACGTCTCTCCAACCAGCAGCGCAGGGATAGGATACTCAGGAGACTCACAGAGGGAGGTGCACCGGCAGGGGTCGTGTTTGTCCAGATAATGGCCGAGCGTGTCCCAGCCGCCCCCAACACGCACCATCACGTGGTCCCGCAGGATCTGAGGGTGCAAGGGTGAGACAGAGGGCAGCCACTGTTTGCGGGCCAGCCCGCAGCCTTCCAGCGCCCATCCAGGGATGCTCATTGCATCCTCACGCACACACTCGGACACTCACTCTCGCGCGCAGGTGTGTGGTTGGGAGCTTGCATATTTGCAGCTCGAGTCTGTCCTGTGACCAGCAGCTGGTAACACGTGTTGTTGCTAAGAGTGGGGGCAGGCTGGCACTCAGGGAGTTGCCCCCCAACTGGACAAGGGATCTCCGGGGCAGCGGGCAGCCTGCCCTGCCTGGCCCTCCCTTCGCTGGAGAGGGGCTTGCACCACACCTGCTGTGTGTGCGACAGAGCCCAGCCGTCTCTGAGGTGAACCCCAAGGCTGCTCTAGGCTTTCATTTCCGCTGCTGAGAAGTGGGGCTGCAGTTCCCTGCGCTGCCTGCTTCTCAGGGCTTTTGCCCCAGGCGCTGCGTGAGGGCTCCGGCAGCTGGCTCTGCTTCCCATGTGGCTTGTGCCCAAGGAAAGGGTTTGACCGTGCCTACCGAGCTGCTGGCCACGCCCCTGGGGACAGATCATTGCTGCCCAGGCACAGACAGGAGGCGGGAGTGGTGGGAGGCCCATCTCAGACCTCTCCCTCGGCTCTCTCTGCAGAAGGCACTGAGCCCGGCACGGCAGGGGTGAGTGATGAGGTCCCCACACGGAATACTGACTTGAGGCTCTCAGGCCCCTTGCTCTGACCAAACCTGGGGGTGCAGTGGAGGGGTGGGATGGGAAGGGAAGTGAGGGTTCCCTGCTTCTGCCTGGTGCCACCATCTAAAAGCTGCGGTGGTGACAGAAGGGGGATGGGCTTGCCAACTCTGCCAGTAGGCTCCTGGAATTCTCTGGGGAGAAGGGGAGCCCCAAGGCCTGATGCTTGGACTGAAAGCTGACTTCCTATCCTACCTTCAGGCCCCAGCGAGGTCTCGTGGGAAGACAGCCTCTTCTGCTGACCCGGAGGTAGGGGGAGGCTTCCACCCCAAGACGGGACTTACCCGGATGAAGATGAGAGTGTTGGAGTCCCCCACGCGGTACCTGCCCTCAGATACCTTGACCATGGAGAACTGCACTGGGCACGTGCAGCGGCTCACCAGGCTCTGCACCTGTGGGCAGTGGGCACTGGGCTCAACCTTCCCCTCTGCCCAGACACCCAAGCTCCCGCTACGCTGGGTCAAGCTCAGTGGGGGCCCCGTCTGCCCCAACCACCACCAGGGTTTCTGTTGAGGTCAGGGCTGAGGACTGAGAGGGAGGTCAGAGAAGACAGGAGAGCAGCCTGGAAATGACCCAGGCAGGACGAGACCTGGGGCAGTCTCCCCTGGGGTCAGAGGACGAAGGCGGTGCAGTGTGCCGGGTAAGGAGGTGGCCCAGGACACCTGACAGGCTTGGGACAGGGTTCTGGGCCACAGGCCTTGAGGTGGTTTTTTGTTGTTGTTTTTGGTTTTTTGGTTTTGTTGTTGTTCATTTGAAAGGCAAAGTTAGAGGGAGAGATGGAGAGACAAAGAGATCTTCATCCACAGGTTCACTCCCTAAATGGCCACAAGAGCCAGAACTGGGCCAGTCTGAAGCCGGGAGCCAGGGGCTTCATCCAGGTCTCTCACATGGGTGCAGGGGCCCAAGGAGTTGGGCCCTCTTCTACTGCTTTCCCAGGTGCATTCGCATGGAGCTGGATCAGCAGCAGAGCAGCTGGGACTCGAACCAGCGCCCATGTGTGTTGCAGGCGGCAGCTTTACCCGCTGTGCCATAGCACCGGCCCCAGCAGGCCTTGAGTTAGAGACCTCCCGGAAGTGCATCTTGCCTGGTGGCAGAAGTGGGGTTCATCGCAGCAGGGGTCCTCGGCAAGGGCCAGCCCAGCATCGGGCACGCCAGCACAGCCTTCCTGCAACGCAGCCTTCAGCACCAGGAGGCTGTGCCGAGGCCCTGGTAACAGGACTGCCACCTTTACACCAGGTAGAGCGGGCGGCGCTCGCGCCGGGGGCCCCGGGATGCTCAGGAGTTGGCCTAAAGCTGTGGCAGCAGGGTCCACGGGGGCTCCACGGGGGCTCCTCAGGGGCTCCTCAGGGCCACACGTGCCCAGGACAAGACCAAGTGTGCTTTCCTAACCAAGGGGCAGGAGATCATTGCAAAGGTGGAAGGCACACAGAAAGCTAGATTTTTTTAAAATGAAGCTTTTTGAATAAAAAGTATTACAAGCCATGGTGAGCGCCAACTCCCATGGAGCTATCCTCTGTGCAGACACTGTCCCAAGCCCTTTGCAGGTGCCGGCGCATCTAATACTCAGTGGTCAGGGCTGCACTATGGCGTAGTGGGTAAAGCCGCCACCTGTAACACCGGCATCCCATATGGTTTACTTCTTGGCTGCTCCACTTCTGAAACAGTTCCTTGCTAATGCACTTGGGAAAGCAACAGAAGATGGCCCAAGTCCTTGGGCCCCTGCACCCACGGGGGAGACCCAGAAGAAGCTCCTGGCTCCTGGCTCCTGGCTCTGGCCTGGCCATTGAGGCTATTTTGGGAGTGAACCAGTGGATGGAAGACCTCTCTCTCTCTCTTCCCCCTGTGACTTTCAAATAAATAAATCTTCAAACAATAAAAGCAGTCACAGATAGGCTGTGCTGTTACTATCCCCTGCTGGATAAGGGAATCCAGGCACAGAGAGGTTGCAGAATTTGCCCACTATCACACAGCCAGGCAGCAGTGGAACTAAAACTTGAACCAAGGTGTCCAAGAGGACGCACAGTCTTTCAACAAGCAACCCACGCAGGCTTGAGTGAGGTGTGGATGCTGTGCGGCGTTAAAAGGTAATAAATGGCAGTGGTGGAGCGGTACTACCTGTGGTTAGGGCTGGACTCAGTGCGCAGCATGACAAAGCCACTGCTTGGGGAGCCCACATCCTATGTCAGGGCGCCTGGGTTCAAGTTCGGACTCCACTTCCGGGTCCAGCTTCCTGCTAATGTGCAGCAGGTGATGGCTCAAGGCCTTGGGCTCTTGCCACCCACGTGCGAGACCTGCATTGAGTTCCAGGCTCCTGGCTGCAGCCTGGCCCAGCCCTGGCTGTTCTGGCCCTTTCAGTATAACCAGCTGATGGAAGATCTCCGTGTGTCTGTCTGTCTTTCTCTCTCTCTCTCTCTCTCTCTCTCTCTCTCTCTCTGCCTTTCGAATGAAGGAAGTCACACCTGGATTAGTGTCAGGGCAGGAACTGGAGCTACAGAAAACTGTGGCTCAGAGGATCTAGGGCGGGAGTGGGGGGGGGTGGAGCCCCTCACCACGTGATCCAAGTTGCGGAAGTGGCAGGGCCGGCGCGCGGGAGGCGCGGGCCGCGGCGGGTCGGCAGGGGGCAGCGCCAGCTCGCGCCGCAACTCCTCGTCGATCTCCTCCTCCAGCTGCACGAGGGTGGGCGCGGCCACGCCGAAGCGCCAGGCGCGGCGGCCCAGCTCCAGCAGACACAGCACCACGCTCTTCACGTTCTTGCGCAGCACCAGGTCCTCCGTCTCGAACATCAGCACCTCTGCAGGGGGCAGGGGGAAGGGGGCGGCCAGGGTCGGGAGCGCAGGACACAGCAGCTGGGCGGGGTCTGCGGATCCTGGGCTCTCAGCAGATCTGCCCCGAACCTGGGTGCGGCCCGGGCAGCACCGCAGAGGACGCTGGGGCCGTGGGCCTTCCCGACTCTGCTCACCAGGATGGGCCCAGGAACCTGAAGCAGTTACTCCCACTTCCACCCAAGCCCTGCACCTCTGACACCTGCCAGGCGTAGCAAACTCAGCCCCGCCAAGGCGTGAGGAGCCCTTCCTACTCTCAGCGGCCAGCTCCGAGACCTCGGGCTAGTCCCAGGGCCTCAGCGTCCCCTTCTGTAAAAAGGGGTTATTGCCGGGCTCCGATAGCTAATGGGTTCCAAGCAGCTGCAGAGTCTGGGAAGTGCTGCCTCCCGCCCGAGCGGCTCCTCCCCTGCCAGGCCTGCGGGGAGCCGGCCCCGGCCCTCCCCTGGCTCCCTCCCACCTGCTTTGGCCTGAAGGATGATGCAGCCTGCACCTTCTTCCCATTCCTGGGCCCAAGGCCCGTGAGATGGAGCACCTGACACGGCAGTCGCTGGGTGGGCGGGCCGGCTGCGTCCACACTGGCCTCCTCCCCAGGTCTCTGCCCACTCTGGCCCTGTGCCCCACACCTGTAGCTTCTCCCCGCCCTCCCTAAGGAGGTTCACCCCTTCCGCCACACCCCCCAGGATTCCTCCCACCCCCGCTTCCATTGATGTCTCAAGGCGCAGCCACAGTCCTTCCTCCCCGCCCCTGCTTCCACCCCCTGGGGTTGGGGTTGCCCAGCCCAAGCATACATCTGGGCTTGGAGCCTTCATCACTGTGGGCTGTGATTTGCCTCTACTTATCTGTCTCCTGCCAGGCGGTGCTGCCCTGGGCACTGCATCTCATTCCAGCTCAACACAGGAGAGGTGTTCATCTGTGTTGAGTGATTCATCAGCAAACATTTATCAATCACCAGCATGCCCAGGTACTGGAATTTTCTATGAGCTGGGGAAACTGAGGCATGAGACGAGAGGAAGTAGCCCAGGGCAACTCTGGCAGGAGGACTCAGGCTCCTGACCCCCCCACCATGCAGCCTGGACCTCAGAGCGAGGACGACACCCCCCCCCCCCCCCGAGGCTTGGACCGGGATCCAGTGCAGTTACCTTGGATGCCCATCTCCTTGCGACACCACTGGATGAAGTTGGAGACGTTGTCCCTGGCCTGGAAGGTGCCCGGCTGGGCGGCCCCGTTGCAGGCAACCCCCGCCCGGGGCACGACAAGTCTTTGGGCTAGGGCGGGGGCCTGAGCCAGGAAGGCCAGCGCAGCCTCGGTGATGGCATTGGCGTGCCGGCACAACACCAGGCCCGTCTCCAGCACCTGCAGGAAGTTGGCTGCGTCGATGTCTAGCCCGTAGAGATTCCGAAGCCACTCGGCCAGGTCTTCCTTCATGGCCTCCAGGTACTGCTCACTGGACTTGAAGGGGCGGATGCTGCGCACGGGAGGCCCCAGGGGCCCCGGCCTCCTCCTGTGTCCCTCAGGCTGGGACATGGCTGGATCCCCCCTCTCCTGCTGGCTCTTGGCCCGGCTTCCCCCCTACCCTCTGAGAGCCCGGGACCCCTGGCTCTGCTGCTGGCCGCTGGCTTCAGCCTCTGGGCCAGGCCTGGCCTCCACCCCCTGCATTCCTCAGGCCCTGCCAGAATGTTCCTTGCTTGGTGGCCCTGCGGCGACCTCACTCCCCCGGTGTCCTGTCCAGTGAAGTCCGTCTGTCCGCTCAGAGTTCGCCATCCCCCCCGGGACGGGTGGCGGTGAGGACACTCCTCTCTCCCCCAGGGACTGGGCAGGGCAGTTGCGCTGCCTGCTACCCCCCACTGGCGTCAGAGCGCAGCTGCCTGTGGCCTCTCCCGTCTGCTTCCCTCTCCTCTCCTTGGAGACGGTGGCTGCTACAAACACTGCTCCCTTCCCCGCGGGTGAGGACGGCCCTGCAGAGCAGCCGGCCCAGAGCCAGGGAGCATGTGGGGGGGGGGGGGGGACTGCCGCGCCGGGGACTCCCTGGGAAGGACCAGGGCCCCTGTGTCCCTCAGTCCCAGCAGGAAGGCTGTGAAAGAAGCAGTCACGGGAGCCACAGACAGGAGTGTGGCCCTGAGTCCCCGTGTGGCCATCGCGCGCTGCCCGGCCTCTACAGGCCTCAGTTTCTCAGCTGTACAATGGGAGCCATCGTGCCTAAGTGTCTGAGGTGGTGTGAGGAATAGAGAGATGACGTGTGTGAGAGCATCAGGCCGTCAGGGCGCTCAGGCGCCGGTCTCCGGAGGTCCCGGCTCCCCGGGGTTCTCTCGGCAGCCATGTCTGCGCACCAGGACCCTGCTTCTCTGAGCACCTGCCCCGTGCCCCACTCTTGCCCTCTGATTCTTCTGAAGCAGGCTGGGCAGCGTGGCACCTCACCAGCGGCCACTGCAGTGCCTTCATCCTGCTGGGCCAGGCGTTGTGGTGCGGCGGGCTAAGCTGCCCCTTGGGATGCCTGCAAGTTCAAGTCCTGGCTGCTCCCTGCGTCCCTCCAGCTCCCTGCTAATGTGCCTGGAAAAGCAACAGAGGATGGCCCCAATGCGTGAGTCCCTGCCAGGCAGGTGGGAGACCAAGATGGAATCTGGGCTACTGGCTTCAGTCTGGCCCAGCTCCGGCTGTTATGGACATAGGGAAGCTCTCTCACTCTGTGTATGTGTGTGAATGTGTGTGTGTGTTTGTCTCTGTCACTGTGAATTTGAAATAAAATGAATACTTTTATTTATTTACCCAAAAAAGAAAACACAAAGGTTTCTTGGGCACTATTTTTTTTTTACAATTTATTTATTTATGTATTTGAGAGGCAGAGTTACAGACACAGAGAGAGGTCTTCCATCTACTGGTTCACTCCCCAAATGGCCGCAACAGCCAGAGCTGGGCTGATCCAAAGCCAGGAGCCAGGAGCTTCTTCCAGGTCTCCCACCAGGTGCAGGGGCCCAAGCACTTGGGTCATCTTCCACTGCCTTCCCAGGCCATAGCAGAAAGCGGGATCAGAAGTGGAGAAGCCAGGACTTGAACTGGCGCCCATATGGGATGCCGGCCCTGCCAAGCACTATTTAGGCCTGCAGATACCACAGTAAATAAAAGAGTGGGTCCCTGGCCTCATGTGGGCTCTGACATGGCTGGGTGATGGGTGACAGCTGAACAGAAATCTGTAGCAAGTCAGGTGGCATTAAATCCCAGGGAGAGAAGGAGATGAGGGTGGGTGTGGGGCTTAGGAAAGATGATCACTGCCAAGGTGACGTTTGCAGAGACCCGAGAGCGGGAAGGATGGGAGCCCTAGGGGGCCGGAAAGAGTGTGCAGTGGGAGCAGCCGGTGCAAAGGCTCCGAGGCAGGAGCGCGCTTGGCGTGTTCCCAGAATAGCAGACGGGCACAGTGGGAGGCAGAGAGGAAGTGGGGTCCCAGCTGGCGCACGGCCGTGTAGGTGACGCGCGTCTCTGGGGGAAATGACAGTTGCACTGAAGTATTGCGGGTGCAGGAGGCCTATACTGCAAGCCAGGCTGCCGCCCGCGGGGAGGGCAGCAAGGATGCCAGGTGGAGCCGGTGCTGCTGCAGGCGTCCATGGGACAGCAGCGGTGGCCTAGGCCTGGAGCAGCCAGTGGAGGACGTGCCCGATGCTTACATTCCATGTAACTTTATCGAGTTAGTAAGGTTGGTCTGAAACAGCCTTTCTTCTGTTAGATTATTTTTAAATTTTCAAAAGATTTATTTATTTGAAAGGCAGAGTGACAGAGAGAGGGAGAGACACGTACAGAGAAAATGAGCTCTTCCAGCTGCTGGTTCACTCCCCAAATGACCCCAGCAGATGGGGCGGAGCCAGGCTGGAGCCAGGAGCCAGGACCGCCATCCCAGACTCCCACATGGGTGCAGGAGCCCAGGCACTGCGGCATACTCTGCTGCTTTCCCAGGCACAGTAGCAGGGAGCTGGGTCAGAAGCGGAGCAGCTGGGACTTGAACCAGTGCTCCGATAAGGAACGCCAGGATTGCCTTTGCTTACCCCCTGCACGGCCACACAGCCCCTGAAACGCCTTTCTTCCTCTTGACACGACTGACATTGGGAGCCAGTCAGTTCTTTGTTGGGGCCTGGGGTTTCTGTGCGACATCCTTTAGCCTTAACACACCAAATGCCAGTACACACCCTGCCTCCATATGACAGCCAGAGGTGTCCCAGAGGGCACTGATGGAGGAGGTGAGCCTGTGGCTCAGGCTGCTTTAAGAGCCTGCCCTTGGGCTTTTTTGTTTCTCAGTTTCAGAAACAGCTAAGCAGAGAGAGAGAGAGAGAGCGCTCCATCCACCGTTTACTTCTCTAATGCCCACAGTGGCAAAGCCAGGAGCCAGGAGAGAGTGAAAAGAGAGGACTTGCTTCCGCTGGGTCACTCGCCACATGGCTGCAGCGGTTGGGGCTGGGCCGGGTGGAAGCCAGGAGCCTGGAGCTCTGTCGGGTCTCACATGCTGCAGGTGGCAGGGGCCCAAGCACTTGGCCGTCTTCCACTGCTTTTCCCAGGCACGTTAGCAGAGAGCTGGATTGGAAATGGAGCAGCTGGGATTCGAACCAGTGCTCATGTGGAATGCTGGCATCGCAGGAGGCTGTTTAACCTGCTGCACCACAACGCAGGCTCGCGCTCTCGCTCTCTCTCTCTCTCTCTCTTTATATAACCTCTTAAAAATGTGTGAACTGTTCTTAGCTTAGGGGTCATGTAAACACAGGTTGTGTGCAGAATTGGGCTGTAGTTTGCCAACCCTTGGATTACATGAGCTAATTCCTTTTTTTGTCTTTGTCAGTCAAGCCAGGCTTTCGCCTTGTGAGCACTTTGTATAGGACAGGGCTTTAAAGACTGTGTCAAGTGGAAGAGAACTGTAACAGGCAGCCAGTGAGTTCTGTAAGGGGTGGGGCGGGGGTAGGTGCAGATCTGTTCCAGTTGGAAGATTTTAATGAAATAGAATTTGAGCTGGGTTTTGGGTAAGAAACAAAAGATGGTGCTCACCCTGTCACGAGGTCCCAGAACATTCTAATTAATAGAAAGGCGCAGATGGAGCAGTGACACAGAGGGGCGTCCACCTGTTCTTAAGCTGCTTTGAGTTGGTTTGCTTCAGTTACAGACAAAATGAATCTGGACTGCTCTCCTCCTGCCAGACAGCGCCGCCTGTCGCCCATGAAGGCGGCACTGCAGGGTGTGGGTCTCAGCCCATAGCTTGCTCCTGGCTTGAGGACCTCCCCCACCCCCCAAGGAGCCCCATTCCACCTCTGCAAACTCACCAGGCCCCGCCCCTGTTGGCCTGATGAGGAGCACGTGACGGTGGCTCAGTCCATCAGACCCGCCCACCTGGGGCCAAGACAAGGTACCCAGAAGTGGTGAAGAATTTGTGAGTGGAGGAGCAGGCATTTGGCGCATCAGCTAGATGCTGCTCAGGTACCCACATCCCTGAATTCCAGTCCCAGCCCCCATTCCAGTTACGGCTTCCTGCCACTGTGCACCCTGGGAGGCAGCAGGTAACAGCTTATGTGCGTGGGTCCCTGCCATCCCTGAGGGAGACCTGGATGGAGTTCTGGGCTCTTGGCTTTGGTTGGTGCTGTCCCAGCTGTTGCAGGCATGCAGGCGTTTGGAGAGTGAACCAGAGAGTAAGATCCTCTCTCTCCCCGCTTTCAAATACATCTTAAAAGAAAATAAGTTTTTAAAAAGAATTCATCATGGGCCGCCCTGGCGATGTCCACATGTGGTTCCTGGAACATGGGCCATGATTGGGATTTGCTGTTCCGTGGTCCCGGCTCTGGGGTGGAATTTTAGCGGTGGCGCTGGGTCCCCGGATCTTCCTCCTGCCTCTTTGAGGAGCCTTGTGCGCGAGTCTTGGCGAATCCGCGGGCTGTGTGGCATCCTCCCCTGCTCAGGTTAGCCAGGATTGTTTTCCGTGACTGACAGCAAGACCGTGCTGGTGGTGGCGCGTGTCCTTCAGGGGCCTCCGGAGATGGGGGCTGCTCCCTCAGCCCGTTGCTCTCCTCCAGCAGGGGCCCACAGGATCCTCCTGGGAGCTCCTGCAGCCCCGCAGCTGTGTGCACCAGCCGGAAAGGTGACTTTGGCCTGGGGATCTGGAACAGGAGTCAGGCAGGGGAGGGAGCCTCAAGCTGCGGATCCTTCTCCCAGCCCAGCCGGGGCCTGGGTGTGAGCTGGGAGGCTCACAGGGGCTGCAGCAAGCAACACCTGCACTGTGCACTTTCCCCGCGTCGCCTTTCACCCTCCTCCTTCCCTCCCTCCCTCCCTTCCTAAGATGTATTTGAAAGGCATAGGGACTGAGAGAGAAGGAAAAGGACAGAGAGAATCTTCCATCCGCTGGTTCACTCCCTAAATGGTCTTAGCAGCCGGGGCTGGGCCAGGCCGAAGCCAGGAGCCCAGAGCTCCATCCAGGTGTCCCACATGGGTGCAGGGGCCCAAGCACTTGGGCCATCATATGCTACTTTCCAGGCGCAGTAGCAGGGAGCTGGATGGGAAGTGGAGCAGCTGGGACTTGAACTGGTGCTCTAATATGAGATGGTGGCGTCGCAGGCTGCAGCTTAACCTGCTATACCACAATGCCGGTCCGTCCGCCTCAGTTTTCTTGTGTCCTTAGCATAAAATGGGTGAAATAGTCTTGGTGCCTTTAGGAGATAATTGAAAGGAAATAACGGGAAGAAAAGCGTGCTGAAAACTACAAAGAAAGACACCTGGGTCAATATAGGAGCAACACGGAGCCGAGCGTGCGCAGCCAGCAGCCCCGTGGGAAGAGTGCCCTGCAGCCAGACGGGGTAGGGCAGCCCTGCTGCTCAGGAAGCGGCTCCCGAACCGAACTGAGTGGCTTAGAGCAA